AGGCTGAGAAAGTTAGACGCAATGGACGAAAGGAGATTGCTACCTAAAACGGTTACTCTAGTTGTTTTTTCCATTGTCGCGAGTTTTGTTTCCAGTAGGGCGGTGCTTCGTAGAGCTGCTTCCAATATCTTGAACATTTTGGATTCGAATCGGTGTAGGCGATTTTAGGGATATCATACATTGGCAAAGTAGCAAAGAGCTCCCCCAACTCAGGGGCCATGTAATGTTCTGTATTGAGGTGTGGAAGTAAAGTCATGCTCACGAGTGACGATCGCTTTCAGGCGAAGCGATATAGAGAACAACCTTGGCGGTATTTCGTAGCAGACTTCCTAGCTTTCTCAGTTTAAAAATTTGGCAGGCTCGTTTTCGTCTGCTTTATGCTTCAGCCATGAGTTTTGCTGTAGAAAACTTTGTCTCTGCTAACCTTTGACCTTCACTGTTATTCTTACTTGACATCGATCGTTACAGTTCATGCAGAATTACCGAGGACAAGTAAATAAAGCAACTCCTACAGCAGGTCACTGAACAGCGTGCGCAGCTCCCAATAGCTAATTTTTCTCTCTCACACTAGTGATACTTCCATTAATGTTTTCAGTGTCTTATTACTGTCTATTGCAGGTGCAACATCGGCAATCGAACGAGGAAAGATGCGAGCATTTTACTGGGCGAAAGTCACCTAGAGGACAATGCGGCTTTTATGGCTACGAGTGATTCGGGCCCTTCACAGTTCTGACAGTTTGGATGGTACGGAATAGGAGGCATCAGAATGATGACAAAGGCTCGGAGCAGTAAAAGCCCAATAGAAATTTCAAGCACTTCCGCACAGTGCAAATTACAATTCTTCCAATGGTAGTGGCATCGGGCATTGGCTTGTTCCACGAATGAAACATGAAAAATGTGTGTATTTGTTGAATAGCAGTTGAACTACCAGTTTAAATTTCAAAAATGCTCATTCGAGCGGAGATGGTGTGGTGACAGGAGGGGCCACTGCCGCGCATGGTCTCTGGATCGAATCCCAGCTCAAACCCAGCGTATTTCAGCCAAATTTCTACAGATGATTAGTTGTTGCTAGGAGCGACAGTTACTACACAAAACACATCGACGACTTAATCTTCTATAGTCCTAGTCTAAGGATTAGCGCATTTTTGTTTGAACGACAATCCTCGATTCGAGTAAATTCGTTTCTCGCTTTCTTTGTTTGTGAATTGTGTGCTACCCAGAGCGAGATTTTTTTCATCTTGACCAATATCATTTCCATGACCTCACTTCATTCAAAGTTTGACTTTTCGCTGATGACCACAAGCCCTATCGCATTTTTCCCATCGGCGTCAGTCTGTGAATTGTCCAGCTTCTGCTTTGCTCGAGGCATGAATATCAAATATCAAATCATAAGGATCGAATAACGATTATGAATATGAAATATACTACACACAAACAGCTTGTACTGTTGTGAGCATCGTCCGAGAAATTTATTTGTGAGCGAAATATTAAGGTGAATATTTGCTTGAGAGAGGCTTGCATGTGACTCCTAACAGAAACCACATGTCTTCCTGCAATTTTCCATCGCAAGGCCGTGCCTGCCTGGATCGTCTGACTTGCACCAGCCATTCTTAACGTATTCTTGGCAGACCTTGGGATGTAAATAACGATCCCTGCACTCCTGAAAAGCGACTTTCTTTTATTGCAAAATTAGGCAACTCTATTGACAGGAGCAATCTTCACAAAAACACCAAAACAGTGAAACATACCCCCTCTTTTAGTGGTTTGCCTGGAGTGAATATCCCTTCAGTGAAGGCGTTGAGAAGCATAAGCGCGATGAGCAAGTAGAAGAACATTTTATTACCGGCTGTTGCTGGAATGGGAATACTGCGGTTTTCAGCCCTTTTATAGGGCTCCATGTATGCTCTTCTGTGTCGTTCGTTAGCTGAACCCTCTGTCTCTGTCCAATTACCTACAAACTTCTATGCAGTATAGCATATTCGCTCTTTTACTTATTTGCGGTCCTCAGTGTAAGTGTAAATAAAGCGAGCCATTTATTCGGCGCACTAAACGGGGATGTTAGTTGAGACAAGTCATTTCATAGGTGACAGCTGTTCAAACTGCCTTTTTTCTCTTCGAAGCTGATGATACTGCATGCCCTCACAGAGGTGTATGACGGCTGGAATTCAGTTGAATCATAGTTTCATGAGAATAGAAGAAAACAGCTGTATGACTTCTTCACTGAAGAATCGCTTCTGATGGTATTAGGATAGCCTTCGGGCGGACTGTAATGGCAGGTGGCGCCATTTACCACGGCGCGGTCCAGGGATGGATCCTGGGTCGTGAGTCGCCCGGGCCAACCAAGCCTTCCATCCCTCCGGGGTCGGTTAATTGGTACCAGACTTGTCTGGGAGGATAAAAACACTGACTTGTACATCGGCTGGCCCCCGCAAGTCATTTGTATGGACCTAATCTCTTTTAAGTGCTACTACGAATACACAGTGGGCAAAAATTACGGCAACAACATTAATTGGTCAAAGAAGCAAAGTGACCGTGATGTACCGAGTTGACAACACTGGCACATTGGAAGGAAGTTATCAAACAGAAAACAACATTTCTATTTGAGGTAGCCCCTTTTGCATTTATCAACAAATAACTAATACTTCCCAGAAAGTCATCGACTTGGTGTACAGGTTTTGGCAAGGTCCAAAGCTTTCAAGAGCGACTACACGTTTCTAGTATGCTTATATCAATATTTTGCTTTCAGCACCTCAATACAGAGCATTACATGGGGATTGAGGTGGAGGAGCTCTGTTGCTACTTCGTCAGTATATAGTAAATTATATATGTACATGAAATTTACTTTTTGTGAATTCAATAAAGTTTGCATTTTTGTTGATTGAGAGAAGATTAATGTTATATTATTATGTTATTATGTGGGGTCAACAAAGAGTAGTCTAGTTTCCGTTTCGCACGTGCCCTTAGACGGAAACTAGACGAATAATGTGTCCTCCCTTAGTGCTCATCAGTAAGGGGAAGGAGGAGTAGATGTTGGAAGTTTGTATTACACAAATTATTCATTTGTATATAAATTTTTTTACATAAAGTTTTTAATATAATTGACTCACACTTGCATTTGAAATACTTCTAGGTAAACTTCTTCTATATCCTTTCTTATCTTTCAACTTACCATATTCTTTCTTGTTCTATTTATACTAATCTTTGTACAGATTCACAGATACATGTACATATAAATCGACAAAATCGCCTACACCAAATTCGAATCTCCAAAATGTTCAAGATACTGGAAGCAGCTAATCTACGAAGCACCGCCCTACTGGCAACAAAACTCGCGACGGCGGAAAAACAACTAGAGTCACCGTTCTAAGTAACACTCACCTTTCGTCCATTGCGTCTAACTTTCTCAGCCTCGGGCCGTCCTTTCCATCTGCACAAAACATTAATGCTCCAACGTATCGCAAGGTTGTGGAAAGCGAAAACAACTCGAAAGCGTCGCAAATCAGAGATGTCTTCTACCAGTACCATTTCGCGTACTTTCTACAAAAATCTGGGCCTATCCTTGATGTATTTGTCAAGATACAAATGTTATCTTCTGGTCTATTTAACGTCTTGAATTACACACAAGCGTCACCACGTTAGTAATTAGACATTTGACCAATGGCAACAGTTCAGGCACGCGAGCTAAGAAAAATGATACAATAAGTATCACTGTCAGTGAAAAAGAGTGAAGAATGACCTGAAAGATTGATCTCATACAGTGTTAAGCGTTTTTGTTTGCAGAGCGAATAACCGCACCATATCTGTCGATGTCGCCCGTGTATTTGCTTCTATACGAGATAACGGTGCGGATTCCCTCCGTTCGTTAGATCACTCTAGCAGGAGGCCTACGGTTGATGGGCTAGAAGGTGTGCATATGAAGATTTCCAGCATTGTTCGGTTTTATCAGCTTCCTATTGTTGTAGGTATTCGACTTCGAACACGCGCCCGAAGGAGTCTGGACCAGACGGCCTGCGCTCCACCGCTTCCACCGCGCACGCACGCTGTCATGTCGAACGATTCTATACACGATGATAGAAATTTATTCAATGAACAAAGGCACAATAAGGTAAGTGTGCGTATGAATTGTTTCCGGGAGATAATTCATGTTATAATTAGGTGACCAGTTGATTAGATGAAGACAATGAGACGACAGAAAAAATGTGATTTGAAAGGAAGAATTCATTTCATGGGGACAAAGTCATATATCAGTGGAATCACTTTTGGTAGAATCTCTTTTTACAGCTTCAGAGGCAGTGAGAACTGTCAGGGGAACCGGAAGACATTAGAGAAATGGTTCCTAATGCGGTGATGCGTCGAAAAGACTGTGCAGGAACGGGTACCCCCAGGAGGCCCATCGCGCGGCAAGAAGGCAGAGTCGGCGGACGAGTCGCAGCGCGTGATGTGCGATGTAGGACGTGCAATGGGACATTCTATTTAACTTGACGCGAAATCCCTAATACGCGCGCGACTCGTCCGCTGACTCGGCCTTCTTGCCGCGCGACGGGCCTCCTGGGGGGTACCCTGCAGAAACAGTGGAATAGGGGCAACCAAAAAGTGGAAAAGACCGTTGGCTATCATGTTCTTTTCCTGTGTTTTTCTGTTGCTCTGTTGAGGCATGTTTAAAAAAGTGAGGAAGTTATTTAAAGTCAGTGGTTAACATAAAGGTCTGCACCGGGGAGGTGTATGCGTCGAAGGAAGCGGGGTTTTGGCGCAGCAAAAGTTGCAGTAATTACAGGGCGGTTAGGCACGAAACCCAAAATCGGCGCCTTCTTTCCAAACTTCCACGCCCCAAACGTAGCTCTTGAGTTTTTGATATCGTATTATTGCCGTTCAATGTTTATTTTGAAATGTATTTCGCATTTAACGGTTGTATATGGTCATTTTGCCGCTTCTTTTAGTCGGGGTACTCCCCAACGCATCTATCTCGTTTAAATTCAACGGCGGAACGAGTGTCCCAGTCTCGGGTTTTGACGGCTTATCCACGTTTCTTTTTCCTAGATGCACTACCCTTTACACCTCTGCTTTCATTTTCCATCACCATCAAAGTGTCAGTATGGTTCCCTTTCAACGAATAAGCGACTCCTAAGACTGTTGTTGCATTGGAGAAATTGAGGGGGGTTCCAACAATGAATGCTGGCCTTGGAGAGAGCAGTGTTTTATACGTGCATCTTCATCCCTGTTTTTGTTACAGTTTCAATAATAGGATTCTGTTTCCTTCTTTCTTCTTCCCTTTTAAAATTTCCCTCTTATATATACGAAATATTATACGAAATAGTAGGTTTGGAGAGTACATGGCCCAACCCATAAAATCATCTATCCGATTATTTGTTCTATTTCTAGCTGAATGTTCTGATGTTCTATAAAATTGAACTTTATTTACAGTCGCCCATCCCGACTCCAATAACGGACCTAAGTGATCTACAACGGTTTTGATCCATAATATTTGTTGCTATTTTTATAGTTCTATCTAATTGTTGATTGCCAAATCTCTTAATTTGTTACGGTGGTGCGTTACTTTAGGTGCCTCGCTGTTATAATTATCACTTAATAACATTATTATGTGGCCGTTTTCTCTTGCTCGCTTCATTCATTAATTTATTGTACATTTCACTTGAAAGTCGTGTCTCACACTTGTAGCACATGGTTCTAGTCAAAGAATGAACATCGATGTTTTTTGTTGTTTTTATGGTTACGACTTTTTTTTAGCTTATTTGTTTTTCTCAGACTTATTACAGACTTTGCGGCAGTTTATTCGACAGGTAAAGCATCAGCTGAGTAATTGGGCAAGAATCAAACCTGCACTTATACTTTACATTAAGGGCATAAAGGTTTTCCGGTGCGTTACCGGGAGCGCCTCCTATGCCTTTTACCTTTGGTGGTGCTTTTACAGTATTATGTGTGCTCAATTATAGGGTGAGGAGTCCTCGTCGTGAACAAAGCTGAGATTTAGAAGCCAATGGAAGTTTTGATGTCTTTTTCTGCCTATGAAAGCGGGGTGTTGAAGAAGTGGTAAGTGGCGCGATTTCTAACGCACATACCTTGGTCGAGTATTTTCTCAGACTGCTTAAGAATACCAAAGCACTGGGCTCAACTGGTACCGGAATTGTTTTAAAAACACCGATGCGAGAAGTGAAGTCTGGCTCCAGTTAGTCACCAATGTCAGGGTGTTCACATTTCAGTGCAAATATAACTCTGATTGGCAGTGGGATGCGTGGCGCACTCTGAAAAAGGCGCCGAGTAATGCCGACTACTCTACCACGTTGTCATGTATGCAGGAAACACCTTAGACATTGCTCCCTTACACCAAATTGTTTTCTGCTCTGTAGGCTTTCTCCCAACCGAGTTATGAAATTTTTCATAAAGCACTGCTTTTTTGGAGAACGCCCCGCCCACCGGGGGTGGGTCTCCCTAATTCGATGTGACTTACCAATGCACACCTTTACCCACTTTTTGGCCCAGTTTCGAGGTGTTTTGTCACTGAAATTGAAATCTTGGTCTTCGGTACAGTTCATTTCGACGCACGCCACGCCCACTGTGGGCGGGGCTCCGCTTAGCTGATGTGTGTTTTGTACTTCGTGAGACCTTGCCCACCCATCCCACACTTGACCCGGTCCCTCCAGGCGGATCCCGAGGAGCTAGGGAATTTCGTGACAGACATACAGAACGAACGACAGACGAAGCGCTTTATAGTAAGTAGGATCATTCCTAGCTGTATGAAAGATTAGGTCCCCTACTAGGAATTGGGGGCAGTGGTGTAGCGGCACGTGGCACGTTTATAACGCACGCAGTCCGAGGACCGAAACCCTGTCGTGCTAAAGTTGAGTATAGATACTTTGTGCCAATATAACACGGGACTTCTTGTATACCTCAAACTTGGGTAATTAAACTTCAATACTAAATAAACCACTTACAATAAATCGGCGGAACAGTAAAAGCAATCTATAGAAGCAATAAGACTAATATCTGCTTTCTACAACTTTTCTCACTTCCTACAAGGGGTTAGCTATCATGCTTGTGTTTCATTATGATATAGGAGAGGAATACTTTACAGTACTCGTGCAACCTAAGATAGCTATTTAAATCCACAGAAGGAAAAGTAAATCACAAAATAAAGAGAAGGAAGTGGCGCACACGATGAGCGAATGGAGCACTTTGAGTCAGCGGTTTAAATAGAGACAATGATCAGAGAACATATCTCTCAACATATCCTTCAAATGCATATGTTTCTACACAAAGAACGATTTCAATGAAACAAAATGATATTTCATTTCAGTAGAGGAAACGTAAGCAGTTCAAAGTCCTAATCGAGTACTGAATTAGGATTCAGTATGCGTGCCTCGTCTAGGTTAACCAAGCTTTCCATTTTTTCGGAGTCGGTAGTACTACATTTGCCTGCAGAGTGAATCGTCCGTTGGACGGAGTCTAGTGGGGGTCATATGCGTCGAAGTTAACGTCAAAATGCGAGGAATGACGACCTGTTACACAGATGCAAATACCATAGTCCCAGGCACAGGCTCACAGCATTGAATGATTAAAGTTAAGACGTTTGCTTTCGCGACAGTAAATGAGGGATGTTAGTGCATCACATCACATCAAGCACAAGCGAGTGCACGGCGCATCCCATAGCGAAAGAGTCTACAGCAAAAGTGTCCATATTTGACTGTTCACGTACACAAATATGCTCTGAGGTGAACCAATGTCTTCAAACTGGACCTAAGTTAGTAAAAGAGTGACCACTTGGGTAGATTGACTGCTAAAGGCTTACAAGAAAAGTTTGGAAAAAAATATTTGCCTGTCGGCAACTTCCTGAAAAGGGTTCAGTATCTGTTATGAAGCACAAAGCTTGTGCGATGTCGGTATCATTATTCCCCATAAAATTGAGTTTGAAGAGAGCTGTGAGTGTTTGAGTGTTGAAAACTCGTGTTTTCAGGAGAGTAGCTCCGAAAATTCATAAAAAAACGGTCCAACGAGACGATTTTTTGAACAGGTTATTTTGGAAACACTTTCGGTTTTCTGGGGGACAAGAATTGCAAAAGATGAAGAAAGTTATTACAGATCAAAGTCCAAGAAAACCAGCGCTCTGCCAAAAATCGGTCCGCAAATCCCCCAAAACGGTCCAACGGGGCGATTTTTGACTCCATCAATTTTAAAAGAGTTCAAGTATTCGTTAGAAAGCTCTAACCTTCTAGTTTATTCCAGGGGACAAGAATTGCAAAAGGTTGAATCTGAAGAAAGTTATAGTCATTGAAAGCCAAAAAACCCGGTTGTGCACAAAAAACGGTCCAACGGGGCGATTTTTTGAAGAAATGAAACTTTACAAAAGTTTGAGTACTTTTTAAAGAAAACAATCTAGAGTTTCAAAATTTTCTTACCACTTCTCACACTTTCTTATTTGAAGAAATTACAACCTTTCAAATGAAGAAGTGCGCATTTCTGTGAATTCTTATTCTCTACCCATAACTAACACAGTTTGAAGATACTGCACAAACGTGGTAGTTTTCTGAAACTAGCAGTCTCGTAGATTACAAATCTACTTAGCGTTTTGAAAAATATTGAGTTGAACAGAATTACACTCATTTGAAAATTAGTAGTCTGCCTTGGTCTATCCGAGCCAGGCTGAGAGGAAGATTGTGCGCGCCAATGCAAACGCGACACTACCACGCTCAACTCTTATACTTCGGCAGTGGACTCTCCGACTCCAAGTTGTCCGCTTTCCATAGCCTTTTAAATATATCACTCGTGAAACGCCACACGACGCTTGGTTGTCCTACCTCAACACACAAGCTAGTCCATCTGATGGCTCGTTATTGTGAAATGGACCGCAAAAGTACCCCGAAAAACGTCTTGATCCACACTATGTCGGCTCATCCAAACGCCGTTAAGCATGCTGTAGTCAGCAAAATGTTCGGGAATTGCATGCGAACACATGCGATAATGAAATGCGTGAATGCCGACAGCTGGCTACGAAAATCGCTATGGGAAGCGGCTATGCGGTACATATACATATCAAAGACGTCATATAACCTCATGAGGAGTACCGCGTCAAAAAAGAAATCCTTATATCTTCCCTTTATATCTAACAAAGTGAGCACTGCCACTTAACGAGCATTAGAAAAGCTGCAGAACGATGTTCTGCTAATTAGTACACCAAATCAAAACATAGGAGGGCAGCTGACGCAAAATACCTTCTACGATAGGCAGTGAGCGTCAGACAGTTGCGTCATCTGCCTATTTGGTAAAGCAGGGGTTGTGCGTATAGGGGAGTGGTTATCAAGCTGTGTGCCAAGCTTGTAACTCAGCCTGTATTGGAGAAACAGGAAGCGTTTGAGTCGTCCACATTAGTGAACACCTGGCAATTATGAGACGCTTTACTCTTTACAGCTCTTAATTTCACAAAATGGAGAAGCACCATAGCATTGAATTTAAAATAAAGTGCACAGTGTTGACGCATGGAACGGAACTGTTGCCATAAACCTCAGAAGTATTGTGGATTTTCGCAAGAAATTCATATTGAACAACCGAGATGGGTGCCCTTCGACAACAGATGATTCTTCGCCGTTCATTCCGCGCTGCGAGCTGTAGAATAAAGATAACGTGCGCATCCAAAGTGTTTGTAATATCGGGATAAGCTCATTTAGGTCTCTGAGGACGAAAACGTTTGTTGAAACGTTAGGCCGATCTAATAGATCTTCCACCTATCAACCTCGAAGGATACACAAACTAGCGCTAACTTTGTTTTTAAAATTTGTATCATATGGTTTCAAAAATGATTCTCTCTCCGCACTTTTCTTTCCCCTCCTACCTTGCACCATGGCTGCTTTCTATTAGGTTGTCCCATAATTAGTGAATCACTTTACATTTATTGCTATGAAAAATCCAAGAAAATGGTAAAGGCGTGAAACATGTTTTGCCAAGTAGCACCCACATTGTCCTACCTGAGCATTTAGTCAGCCCATTTACATGCTGCCTTACCGGGCTGATCAATTTTTCTGGAACCTATTTTTGAGCTCCTCTCTTCATCACTTCTGATTAGGATCTTTCAAACGCCAACAACATAGTGGATCAACCAGCAGATAGGCGAGGGCACGCTCCCTCAATCCACGGTGCACTTATGGTTCACTCTATTCCGGGGTTGGCTTTTTTATTTGAAGATGACCCACACTCCAACTACCCCTCGACTGGCAATCTCACTGCCCTAGCCAGCGCCACTAAGAATGGAACTGGACAAACTAGTCGCTATTTGCTAGAGCGTATCCAACTTGTTAAGATGATGGAATGTAGACAACTCCGTAGAGTCGTAAAGATTTTAAAATATTTAATTTGTATCTCCCGTGCTTTGAGCCCGAATCAGCTCCAAACACGATCTGACATCGTCATGTTCCTTCTGATCTCCCTTAGTTCCTTACAGTGATCATCCAGCATATTCACCAGGG